CAACAATTGACAAATCTTCTACCAATCAGAACCTTCAAGAAATAGTAAAAAATCAAGATTTAACTTTTGACTTTTTAAATAAAAAAAAAAGCGTAATATTTACTTCATCTTCATCAGAATCTGAACAAGATGTAGATTATTTTATAAATGAAACATATGATCAAACTTTTCTTTTCCGTACATTAATTGCTAAGTGGGCTGTTGATTTTAATATTCCACAAAATGCATTAAATAAACTATTAGTTGTTTTAAAACAACATAAATGTTTTAAAGATTTGCCTAAAGATTCAAGGACTATTTTGCAATCAAAAACTGTTGAGCCCTATAATTTTGATGCTGTTGAACCTGGAATATATCACCATTTTGGTATATTGAATGGTATTAAAAACAATTTTCCAGAATGTTTGAAAGATAATAATGATATCCATATTGTGGTAGGAGTTGATGGGTTACCAATTTTTAAAAGTAATCCAGAACAATTTTGGCCTATACTAGCATACATTCGTCCAGAAAACAATAAAGTTTTTCTAATTGGACTTTATTGTGGCAAAGAAAAACCTGCTGATAGCAACACTTTTATTAAATCATTTACTGATGAAGCACATTTATTAAATAATACTGGTATTTGTATTAATAATAAAGTGTATAATTTGTATATAGACACATTTTGCTGTGATGCACCAGCAAAATCGTTTTTATTAAAAACTAAAGGACACAGTGGATTTTTTTCGTGTTCAAGGTGCGAACATGAAGGTTTATATTTATCAAATAGATTGTGTTTTCCCTTTACTTCGCCTACAAGGTGTCCATCTAAGAGGACACATGAAAATTATGTAATGCAATCCAATGAAGACCATCATGTTGGTAATGTATCTCTCATATCAACATTACCTTCATTTGATGTAGTAAGTGATTTTTCACTGGATTACATGCATTTAGTGTGTCTTGGTGTTGTTAGGAAATTGATTCTTTTGTGGATCAAAGGTCCAGTAAGTATTAGATATCCTTCATGGAAAATCAGAGAAATATCAAAACATCTTGAAGATATTAAAGTTAATATTCCATGCGAGTTTGCCAGGAAAACTCGTAAACTTGATGAAGTAAACCGTTGGAAGGCAACAGAGTTTCGCATGTTTTTGTTATATGTTGGTACAACTGTGACTAAAAATGTATTGACTACTGAACATTGGAAACATTTTTTTGGTTTGAGTGTAGCAATGATTTTACTGCTCAGTCCAGACCATGCTAAATTTATCAATATTGCCAGAAAATTATTAGACAATTTTGTAAAAAACTTTGAAAATATTTATGGTTCTTATCTGATATCCCATAATGTACATGGCCTGACACATATTTGTGATGACTATGATAAATTTGGACCACTTGATAACTGTTCAGCATTTCCGTTTGAAAATTTCATGGGTTCTCTAAAAAAAATGTTGAGGAAACCGGATAAGCCTTTGCAACAAATTGTCAAAAGGTATAATGAAATCTGTAATTTAAAAACTAAAATTCAAACTCAAATTGCTCCATATCAACTTAGTGGACTACATGTACGTGGACCAATATTAGAAAATGCATTGAAAGGAGACTAATTTACCTGTATCGTATTGGAAACAATGACAATAAAAACAAACATAGAAGCTGATTCCTACCTTCTAACTACTGATGATGATGTTGTAAAAGTTTTTAATATAATATGCAACAAAAATTTATATGAAGTTATTTTAATATGTAAAAAATTTAAAAACAAACACATAATGTTTAATAATCCTATAAAATCATCCAAATTAGGCATTTATATAGTTGATGAATTGTATAATAACTTTAATTGGTATAAAATTGGTAGTATTAAAAAAAAAGTTATACTTTTACCTAATAATAATAAATTTATTGCTCTACCAATTATTCATTCTACCAAAACATAAACATTTTTATAACTACTTGTAATACTTGTAATATTTGTACTTAATATATTATTATTATATATTTTTTTTTTAATTTTATTTTGTAATTTCAGATGATAGTGATACTGATCCACTATACTCACCAGCATTAAATACTATTCAAGGTAAAATTAATGTTATGTTTGCATTTTTGAAAAATTGAAAATGTATCATGTTTTCCTCATCTCATTAATATATATTGCCAATAGCCATATAAAATATTACTATCGTGATTAATTCTTTAAAATTACATTTATACCAGGGCATATTTAATTTAATTCAATTTATACTAGTATGTAATTATAATAATCTTAACTTTTTATTAATTTATAAATACTCATTGATGATATCATTATTAAAAAATTTATGAAAATTAATTTCTGATGCTTAATATTACTATTGGATAATGATTTACCTAGTTATTAAATCTGTGAAAATCTGATCTATTTTTATTAAATATTTTTTTTTTTTATTATCATTATTTAAATATTTTATAGAATATCATATTAGACTCAATAATTCCGTTATCTGCTTATGAATTAGTTAGTTATAGTTTAAATATAATAGTATTTGCTTTGCACATATGTATATATTGATAATGATGTAAATAAATACTTTGAGATAATTTTAAGTATTAGGTATTTATACATTTATTATTTAGTAATATTAAATGCTTATTAGAACATATAATTATTACAGGTAAATTGTCATCGCCCAAACATTTCTCAGCAAGGAAAAACTAGACTTCGGCAATTGTTCTTCACGTAGCCCATATATTATGTCAAACAAATTTCAAAAACTAAAAAATCCTGGTAAATAAATTGATTTACTAAATTATAAATTGTTTTTAGTATAATATTTACTTTGTGTATAATAATGAAAATAGCTAAAATTTTAATTATAATTTACAATATATTATTTACATTATATTTTATTATTATATTTTATATATTATTACATTATATTATTTACAATATATTATTATTTCAGATCAAATTCAAGAAGTTTCAATTTTCGATAGTAACAAACATACTACGTCAATCATTAATACTTCATCATCACCATTTAAGGTGACTCATGAAAATTATATTGCAAGTACTTCTCAATCTAGTCAAAAGCAGATAAATAATGTCTTCAATGATAAAAATGGTATATATGTATTTATTATTTATGTTAATTTGAGGTACTCCCAAACTTCTTTCATGCCAATAAAATATATATATAATATAATATAATATATTTTATTTGTATGGCCAGGAAACTGATGATGTGATAAAGTTTATTTTAAAATAATATTATAGTATTAAAAAATTAAATAACAATTATTACAGTTTTAACTTAAAATCTACTCATATTAAAGAATATCATATTGTTTTGCCTTTATTTATTATCTAATAAAATTTAAAAGTGTATTTATCAAATATCATTATTGTATACTATTATATGTATAATAATGTAAGCAAGTAAATTTCATAATAATCAAATAATGGTAAATAATGGTTTTTAAAATAAAATTGTGATAGTATATAAATAGATATATAGTTAAAAATAAATTTTCTATTTTCAAGATATTTTGTATCAGGCCTAAAAATTATCAAGATAACAATAAGTAATTCCGGATATTTTAAATTTAATTTAGATACTCTTGAAAAAATTAACCGTAACGTGTTAAATTTGAAGTATGAAATGAGATCACTTCATGAAAAGATTGATAAAATTGATGAAATGATCAGAAACAACACAATGAACAGCAATATTGAATTGAACAAAGATGCAAGTGTATCCGATTTATTTATATCACTAAACAGTGATTTTCCTTTAGAGGATGAAGATGCTCTTCAAACATTTGAAAATAAGCTGTTAGATAACAATTATAGGGTGCAATTGGTGAGTTGTTATATATTTTTAATTTTATATATTTCTTTATGAATAAAATATATAATTAATATAAATATGGGTTTAATAACTAATTGTGTAAATTAATTTTAAAGTACCTAAGTATAATTATGCCATAATTTTATGTTTTAGGTGGCTGAACTTGCTCGTTATGTGCACAATACATTACCAAGTACCATAAGGGCTATGATGCGTTTTCTTTTCAAAGACTCTTTACTACAAGAGTATAGTTATAAGGGGCAAAAGAAAAAAAAAAGTGTTTTCAACTCTTGGAGCTAGCTCCATTATATTTGGTAAGTTATATAGACATTTTACTATGAAGTTGATACAGAAATGTTACAACTTGTTTAAAATTTTAGATGCTGTGAAAAACATGAAACGTTATCAAAAGCACGATAAAATTGATGTGGAACAACCTATGAAAATTTTTATTGCTGGTGCGAAATTTAGAGAGCACAAAACTGTGGAACTACAATCAAATACATTATAATAATATTAAATGTAATCATTGTTATTTATGATTATGACTGTAGTAAAATATATCTACTATAATAATAAATTTGTTGATATAAGTTTATATTATTAGTATTTTAATTTATTGGTGCTGTTGTTGTATTTAATCACATGATTCTAATACATAATATATAATAAAATATTTAATTTGCATAAAAAAAAAAAAAATGGTAATTATTATATTACATTTTAATAATAAAAAGGTATAACATTTGAAATAATATTAAGATACTCGTTATTATAATAGAACTAAAGTAAAAATATACCTAATCATTTATAATTTTTAAACTAATTCAAATTATTTATATGACATTCAAAAAATATTTAGTATGTAATGAACATGATTATATAAAAATGTTTTTTTTCTACATTTTTTTAATTACAAAAATATTTAAATAATATTTATAAAACAATGGTTGGCCACTGAAGTTATATTTTATAAATGTTATTTTGATAATATTTTAATAATATTTTTAAATTAATATTCTTATAATATTCTTAAAATAATATTTATAAAATGTAACTTTAGTGGCCAACCATTATTTTAACATTTTTGTAATCAAAAAAATGTAGAAAAAAAACATTTATATAATCATGTTCATTACATACAAAATATTTTTTCAATGTCATATAAATATTTTATTGCTATCTGGGTAGTTTCTTTACAATCTATAAAATAAAATTTTTATGTACTAAATAACTATGAAAATGGAGGATAAGACATTGATATTTTAAAATTACCTCTCTAGCTTTGGGAATGCAATTAGATATGGCTGCTGATTTTATACTACCAAGTACACACAATTGTAATGAGTGTACAGAGCATCTAATACAGGATGTTATAGATTTAGGTTCCATAGCAGCAACAATAATTTCTTGCAAGTTATCTAGATATAAATCAAATTACAATATATTATTATTTGAATTACTATTATGTTTTAAAAACCAACCATGATCATCAACTTCTTCATTGAAAGTTGATTTACTATATCATTTGTTGATAGTAATGTTCCGTCTTCAATGGCATATTCATCATCACTCTCATTGTCTCTGAATCCACAAAATTAATCAAATCCTCAATATGTGGTGCTTCAGGTTCACATTCATCATTCATATTTACAATTTTACTTAACTTAACCATATTTGATGCATTATCACATGTAATTGGTAAATTTGTTCTTTTCTCATGTTGTAAATATCAATACATCAAAAGCTAATATAGGAAATACAATATAATTAGTACACAATATGATAAAATGCTGTTAATAAATTAAGTATACCATTTTTAAATTTTGAGCAGTGTGCTGTTCGTTTATTTCCTTCATTGCTAGGGTAGCCAAAACAAACATTCATGTTTTTATGAACTGAATATTAACTCCATTATGGACCGGTTATGACGTTTTACACAATCAATTTTCAAGCTCACTAAACTATTTTGATATTTTCTGTTATTTCATTAATATAGTTTTGAGCACAAAAATATGTTTTATATTCTGGGAGTTAATAGTAAAACCTAAGATTTCAATCAAAATACATGAAATAATTAATTTAGGTACATATTTTAATAAATTCATTTGGTGGTATACCTTCACCAATAGCTTGTGTCAGAGATTCAATATTTTTAAAACCTGAATCATTGAATATAGTTAACAGACAGATTCGATTACCATTTGTACATGTACTTGCAAAATGTAACTTTATCCAATTGTACATAATGACTTTTTTTAAGGACTGTAATCATGCTATCTAAGGACCTCGTTTCTATAAAATGAAATGTATTTTAAATTAGAGCTAGTTAAAGAGGATTAACAAGTGTTAAATAAATATCAGTCTTGTAAGTATTCAACAAGTATTTTCGCACAATTTGACATCAATAAAATAATAATTTTTCGCTGATAATATTATAATCATATTAACTCATAAGTAGGATAAGATACGATTTATCTTATCTAGTCTATAAATTAAATTTAAAAAGCATAGTAATGAGATTGAATTTATAAAAATGAAAATTTTGTATAGTAAAAGTAGGTGATATACTAATAACAATGTTTAAAATTTAAAATTATAAAATGCTAAACCAATTATTTATGGGTTTTGTATTGTAATTTTTAAATAGCTCCATATTAATACACCACTTTTATTTATTACTTTGTAATTAAATTGTATCAATATAAATAAATATGTACTAGTTATTTAATTCCTAAATAGTCTGACATGTTATTATTTTTAAATGTTAAAATCTATCTAAGTATACTAAGTAGTAACATAATATATAGTATTATAATTTACTTAATACCTGATTTACCTAATACTTATACTGATGTACAAATGTACAATATATATTATATACATACAAAATGTATGTTATATACTAGTATAAATTTAAAAAAAAATTCTTATATTTATTTTCAAATTTTAAATACAATGCGACTATTCGTAAAATACATTTTTATAATAGCATTTTAAAAGTATTTTACAAGACTGTACCTATATGCATACAATTGTAAAAATATTTTGTTGTTATTTAATAGGTATTTATTACCTTTGATGAAAGTTGAACAGTTGAATCATCTGATGGACGCTTTATATTTGAACTTTATTACTTTTAGTATCTTCTTAGCTTGGTCCAATATTTTGTTTATGGAATGGAAACTCCGAATGTGGGTTTCTAAATTATGACTATGACGTCCTTTCATGAGTGGTTTACGACACCCTTGAACGGCGCAAGTCGATTCATCTTTGGTGGTTGTAATCAAAAACAACTTACTAACGGGATTGGTTGTCTTTCTGCCCATTTATTAAAATTTAAAGTTAAAGTTTATAACATGTATAAGAATAATGAATAAACTCGCGCACTGCACAAAACAATATTATTTAACAGTTAACAGTGAGCAACAACAATAGGTCCGCGCCGTCCGCGATATAACGATTTAGTACTGCACGCAGCACTGCGGTGGTAATAATGATATTATATATTATTATTATTAAATTTGTTGAATTTATTCTAAATTTATTTTTATTTTAGATTATAGATATGTTTTGTTTATAACTTTATGGCTGTGCAATGTCAAGATAACTTGTTCGATCCATAGCTACGTTTATTTTCATACTATTTAGTATTTTGAAACTACTAAAAGAAATGAATACAACAAAGCAGCTGTCGAGCTGGCGTAATATTAATAATATTATACTCTAAGATATTATTATGATTTTTATATGTATAACTATATAAGATACTGTAATGATTTTACTAGTTTTACTAGTTATTATTAGATCATGTAGGTATAACCATGTTTAAATAATATTGTCTGTTTACGTTATCGCCGGGCCGACCATGACGGTAACTTTACTAATTAGTTATTAGTAATTACTTATAATCTTTCATTCTACTTAGGGCCGCGCCACACTAGAGCCATAGAATAAAGATACCTAGAACGCCAACTTGATAGTTTATTCTGATACCATGAAGAATGGGAACACTAGCGCAGTGAGTGAATCTCTTTTGCAACAAAAATCGATAGTTAGTATAATCGATTGTTCTTTAAATCGATAGTATCTAATGCTGTTATATCGATTAATATGTTGTAATTTGTACATTGCATATTATTTATTTTATTTATTATATTATTAAATAGTAAATACCTAACTAGGTAAGGACATTAGGTATGTTTGTTCTTACTGGTCATACCGTTATTTTCATATTACCTTAAGCTTACATAATAAGTATAATAAAACTACAATTGATCATTTAAAATATTTTATTTTTATTTTTACAAAAACATACACAGAAATTTTACAAGTTTTTTTTTTATTATATAAATACACAACAAATAACATGACATTAAATATTAATACTTCATTATATTAATGCATAAATTAAATTATAAAAAGCTAATGATCTCATAAAATATTGACAAATATTCAAACAAAAAAAAGTAGTTTCAAGATTAACAATATATTTAGTTTTTGATAATAATTTTAATGACATAATAATACATAATATGATCACATGAACACATTTTTTTTCATATAAAAATAAATTAAACAAATATTGAAGATACTACAGAATATAGTATTTATCTTCACAAACAATTTTATACATTAACATTTTTAGTTTTTTTATAATAATTTCAAGTCAAATTTAGTTTCAATCATAAATCATATTAAAATCATAAATAAATATACACTTCATCTCTGTACACTTTTATAATTCAAAAATCAAAATATTAAATTTATGTTTTATTTTTATGTTTTAAATAATAATTATAAGCAGCTGCTTTAATAATATCAGTACTTTTTGAATAATCACTTCTATCCAAACCGTTTAAAATATGGTTTATATGTTTGATGTAAGTGAACAGAAAAAAGTTTTTGAATTTATCATAAATTAAATATTTTATAATATGAATAGGACATTTAATTGTAAAATCTATATTTATTTCAAATATCAATATCAATTGCTTGCCTATACTTTCATTGTCAATATTAAGTAAAATATATTTGGTAATATACAACATTTGATATATTATTTTTTGAAAGCTTTCACTAGGATAAAGTAAAGATTTAGTTGTATAATCTCTAACTCTTATTAAATTATTATTTTTGACATTTGAAATAAGAATATTTTTACAAAGTCTACAAAATGTATTTTCCTTTAGCACCGTACGAGCTAAATATCCACTTATATATCCAATTGTCATATCAGTGAAATCACATACATCAAATGTATTTGGTAGGTCAAACATGGGTATATTAATTATATTATTTTCTTCTGGTTCTTTCAATGAACAATTTGTGCCACTTTCAATAAATTGCTTTAAATTATCCAATGTTCCATCACTGTCATCGTGTTCACAATTCCCAGCAGATTTTATGGATGTGAAATTGTTTATCAATAATGTTTTAAATGAACAAACAAATTGATATGCATCTGGATTAATATTTCTGACACCATGACTTCGAACACTACCGAAAAAACATTCTAAAGAATCCTGGTTGACATGCCTTGGCAAGAAATATTTAAAATTATGTTTTTTCAGTTGAATCCAAAGGTATAGAAATGATTTTAGAGATATTATCCAGTTTTTGATACAAGGGGGTATAGTAGATTTACCGTTAGTTTTGTTGACAAACTTCATGGATTCAAAAACCTTAATTGCATATTTCCAGTGATCTATGTGGGGAGATTTATCTGTTACTGCACTTCGTAGTGGTTTTCCCAACTCAGGATTGATTGTCCTGGCATTTACTGAATCAAATGTCTTATCCATGAATAGACAAAATTTGGCTGTGCCTACAGCATTGGCCAGCAAACTTCCTTTAGGGGCTAAAAAGGTATAATTTATTATAATATTAGTAACTTAAACATATAAAGATAAATCAATCAAATACACATACCATTATCAGATACCAATTTCATTGTTGAAGCTACTCTGTGGCTGAAGACTTGTGCTGCATTCGAAACCTTCATTTTGCTTCTGGCAATGTTAATGTGGTTGTCGTTTAATTTTACAAGGGTTCTTAGTTCAAATTCTTCATTTTTCTTATCGAAATCATACATAGCAACAATATGATCCCAAGACGCTGTATAAGTGTTACCATCCATGTCAAAAACTACATCTTTATTAAATAAGTTGTTTCTTATACATTTTAACAAATGCGGAGGATCAAAAATTGGTATTATTTCCTGGCCATCAATTTCAAAACCTAAATTTGTTTTTTCCATATTACGTTCTGTATAATTTTTACAAGTTTCAGACATCAAATAATTGATTGCAGCTCGATTGGTTCCTCCCTGGTCACAGACAGTTGCTACAATTTTAAGACCAGTTTTGTTTACACTTCTGACAACGTCTTTCAAGTAGGACACTAAATCAACTGTTTGAATAGTGCTGGTGCTATAATAATAAGCATACGGCTGTTTCCACTTCTTAGCAATTCCTCTCAACATAAAAACTAGAGCATGATCAGCAAACTTTGGTGTTTGGTTATTCTGATTTTTCTGAAGGCCGAGTATCATGTAATTTTTTTTGTCATACCTTAATCCAGCACTTAACGCCATTTCATCAAAAATTAATATACAGTTTTTATCAATATCTTTTAACTTTTTAGACTGGTGTTTGAGGTTTTCTTGAATGTGTAAATTTATTCCTGGTTTAAATGGAATTCTACTTAACATTGATGTTAAAGTAGATCTTGACGGAAGAGCAAATATTGATGAAAGAAACCTATATCCTTTAGGTGAAGTTTTGTATATGGAAAGTGATAAAATTTTGTCATCTAATGTGTATCTTCTGCCTTTTGGATTTCGGTGTTGAATATTGACTTGTGTCTTAATAAAATCTAGCGTTGTTTTGTTTAGTTTGTCAGCTAAATTGTTACAACTATCAGAAATGACAAATTTTTTAGCAATCTTTAATTGGGTTTTCAAGGAACAGGTTTTCTTTGAAATTAAATTAACTTTTTTGATTAACTTTTTTGCCGTTGCGTATAGTTTGCCTTTTCTTGGTGTTAATTCTGATACATTTTTCATTCCAATCTGTTTCAGCAAGCACACCTTCTTTTTAATAACTCTTACATCAACAGAGCCAGATATTGATTTTATCATAGGTGTTTCTATATAAATAAAAAAAAGAGCTAGTAATGACAATTTAATAAGATAATAGTATGTATTTTATTACCATCAGTTAGTTCAGGTGATAAAGGTATAGCCAAAGGTGATGAGCAGCTAACATTCACAAACTCAAATGAGGTGTTAGGTGATTGGTAAACAGAGCTCACAGAACTAGTTAATTCCTTTGAAGGTGTGGCTAAAAAAATATTTAATTAGGTAGTTATAACAGTTTACTTAAATATGTCATGTGTTTAATTCTTACCTTGAGATACATTAAGTAAAGGTAACGCCAGAGGTGATGAGCAGCTATCATTAATTAGATTCATAGATTCATCCATTGTAATGTCAGTTGATTTGTTTACAGGACAGACAGAAGGAAGTATAGCTAAATAATAAGCGAGTACAAATTTATATTATATTGTTTAAAATATAAACATTTAAACATTTACATACTACCACCAAAAAAAAAAAAAAAACACATACAGATACTAGAATGAAACTATAGGTACATAGGTACAACATACAACTACATGGGTACAATGAATTCCTACATATTTAATTAATAAACTGTATAGTTTAAAAAATAATATAAAAGGTAAATGGAATGTAATTTATAAGGTATTGGGTAAAAATAATTAAAAAGCAAATAATTTTATTGAAATTTTGAATAGTGAAGGTAACCTCTTAAATAGTTCAGAACTCAAATAGGTAATATAGAAAATTAAAGTAGTAAACCTGTGATTCTTATACATTCTGTACCTCGTGGAACAGTTTTAGGGCTATTACTATTTATAATTTATATAAAAGGTTTACAGAATTCAAATTTAAAAGGAAAAATTGAATGAATTATTATTCAAATTAGCACATATAAATTAATAAAATCACAATGGCAATAAATGTAAACAAAACTAATGAGGTATCTAAAATTTAATGTTATTAAAACAATAATAAAAATATTAAACATTTTATGATATATTTTCATAGTAAAACTTTTAAACAAATAAGCGATTGTAATTGAATTGAAATAAAAGAATTAACAGAAATAAAGTCCTTAGGTTTGGTTTTTGATAATTAACTTAATTAGAAATACCAGTTCGGAGAAAAAAAAATAAATTTGAATATGAAACTATTATTTTTAAAATAGGTATTAATGATAGGTAATAATATGGTATACGTATACACATTAAATTAATTAAAGTATGTATGAGACTGTATGAGTAACAAATAAAACATAATAAAATAAATATAAATAAAAAATAAATAATTATAAGTATAATTATTATTAATTATTTTATTATAATTTAAATATAAATACAAATACAATTAATAGGTACATAAAATAAACATTACCTACCTTCATTTGAAAAATCACAAGCAGATTGAATATGAGAAATGAAAATCAGCATAAACACACAAATAATATTGATATATAAACATAAATAATTCACAAGCATAGAAATAGTTTATTAACCAGTTCAACGTGAGATTAAATCTCTGCACAGAAATAACCACAAATTACGATGACTGATGATTAATAAATACTTGGTAAATTTAAACTCGGTAATGAATGTTTCTTCAATCGTGAAGTACCAGGGCTGTAGCTAGTACAACTAAAATGTTCAGTACAAACCAAATACGTTTTTCTAATATAAGGCTTTGAAAGATTCACCAACTTCTCATTCCCAGTTCTTAAAATCCACATCTTAAAATCATCATCATCCAACGGAAACACATGTTTTTTAACATTTGAACTACTATTACAGCCTAACACAGAACATTTGTTGGACGGCATTATGCCAAGCACTGTAAATAATTAATCGAACGAGTTACACGGGTAGCAAAATACTCAAAAGTCAAAAGAGTCAACGATTTCAATATTAAATATTTATTTTATACAAGAACCTAGTTATATATATCTTTATTGTTATGGTCAATGCCGTTGGTAGTTTTTTTTTTTTTTTTACCATGGATAAAGCAAGTAATCATATCTTTTGTTCCATGAAATTCGATACTAGCGAAGCAGTAGGATCTCTTTTGAGTTATATCAAGAGGCATGAATATTATAGCTATAAGTTCACACCCCCTGACTAGAGCGGTTTTGACGCGCGGTAAAAACGCGCGTATAACGCGCGTCGAAAACGCTAGACGAAAACGCACTACATGTAATAGAGCGCGCCAAATTAAAGCGATTTTAACGCGCGTTACCGCGTGTCACCGCTTAATATCTACGTTTTGCGTTTTGCCACATTCAACCGACTTGTATATGAAACACATTATTTTCATTGATACGGCACACACTACAGCGTTACAACGCGCGGTTCGTTTCAAAATTATTTTAAAAAGTTATATTTTAAAAGTTTTCAAAATGATTGATATTGATTTAGCTTATAACAAGGTGAGAAAAGTGTCTATGGAAACCACTTTGAATAACAATTATATGGACAAACATGCTAAAGCAAAATCGTGTGACAAATATAGCTATTATAATGTGTAATAATTGGAACACGTCATCAAAAAAGAAAAACGCGTAGTTTTAAAATCTATTCATGATAATTAATAGTTAAAAAATAAATATTATATATTATATAAGTCTATGTATTACTCAATATATGCTTTATAATGATTATACGTAATAACCTAAAATTATGAATGTAACTAAATAACATATATAAAGTAATCAGTAAATGCAATGTTCGAATTTAAGTACTTAAAAATACATATTAATAAATATCAGCTTATATTATAAATTATAATTACACACTATTCAGTCTATTCTATGATATTTTATATTAACTACTAAAATACAGTACAGAAAATAAAAATATGTATGACTATTATAAATATATTATAGGTACATTCTTGAATATACATTTTCTAAATACACAAGAAAAATAATTTAATTTTGTTTTAATATAAATATATAATATTATAATTTAACAAAAGCATGGGTAGTTTATGATTTTGATATTATATTTGATTCAATATTAACAAAATGTATCATCGTTGAAACATAACAATATTTTAAAATAGATTCTTAATAATTATTATTTTGATACTATCTTTATTATTTTAAAATAAATTGTACTTATAATTTATAAACCTATTTTTAAACTTGATTTTCTCATTCAACTGTTATTAAAATTACTACAACTTAAAAGTATTATGAGTTAAATATTATTATTATGGGTATATTTTCACATAAATTTAAAATAGTGCTATATACGTAAAAAGCGATATTGAAAATACTGATCCAGAGTTAAAGAAATATTCAGAAGAATACTATCTAACGTCTATCCCTTGTTAGCTAGACTCCAGATTTCTATTTGAGTTTCTTTTGAAAACACTTCTATATCATTTGAAGAATGTCTTCAAATTTATACCCGTCTCTACGCCTGACATAATTATGCTGTAAATACAACACCTTTTATTACATCGTCTGCAAAATCTGGCGCAACTAACATAGCACTATGTAGACGCGCCATTTGTTTATAATATACAAACGTGCATTCGACGTATCTTCGAATACTCGATAGACGGTAATTAAATATTTTTCGTTTTCTGTAAGACCACGTTCAGCATATGGTCTCAAAGATTTTTATGTAATCAAATGCTCCTCCCCAATAATAACATACGGTTGTGGACAGGTGTTTGTATTAGGTAAGCAAGTAGGTGCTAGTAAGTTCAACTGCTCAGAATAAAGTTTTCGAATGATTATTTAAACACCGTAAGTCAGCCTCTCTACCATATGCACCAACATCAATAGCAGTAAAAATATACTGCATCTAGCAACCATCAGTACAATGGAAAATAGCTGC